AGTAAGTGCTGTGTTTTATTGGAGATCAGCATATGGGGAGCAGGGAGGCAGTGAAAGTGGAGAGGACGCTAGAAAACAGCTGATAGGATCTTGATTTAGCTCATACTGCAAGGGGAGGGAGCAGGACTCCCCTCTCTGACTTCTAACTTAGGGCTGCCCCCGCTCTGTCATTCTCCTAACTCCATTATGACTCAGGGTTTTGAGGATTGGGAAAGCTGTCTGGGATGCTCCTATAAGAGCCAGGAGCACGGAGAACTCCGGGAGGAAATTGATTATTGCCTGGGTGTAGATAAATATTCTTCCTGCTAGTACCTGGATACCAATTAATAATCTTCCATCTGGCACCTGGATACCCCCAGCTAGTACTTGGGTATGGATTAATGTTACCCCAGTTTCCCACAGGGTAAAAGGGCTTTGGTCTCCATCCAGTGCCAGGACCTCCACCTCCCCAGGGTACACTGGGACTCAGGGCCCCCCAGGGGGAACCAGGCAGAAGTGACCATAGAATCCCATTGAGGAGAGACCCGGGACGGGGTCGGGCAAGGATTTTTCTCGGGGCGCCCAGCACAGTAGAGTGGAGTGGCCCTCTAGACTCAGAGTCCTGGGGGAGGAGTGAAGCCTCGGGTGAGGGGTCCGCGGGGTATGCAAAGGGCTCTGCAAGAAAAGGCCCACTGCCCGGAGGGAGGGCAGCCTCACTAGAAAAGTAGGACGGTTCTTCAGGCAGCTCTTCTCCCACATAGTCCTCGAACACAGCAGGCATCATCGGCCAAGGGTCCTCCGAGGACCAGGAATCCATGTAGGGCAGCTCCCCAGATGGAGGCCACATCTGTACCCCAGCACCTCCTGCAGGTTGAGAGCCAGGTGATGGAGAAGCATTGGGCTCCAGAGGAGCCCTTGCCGAATCATTAGACTCAGGGTCTGGTTTGGGCTGAGGATGTTCCAAGTTGGAGGGGCTGGTCAAGGAAGGTCGTTCAAGCAGAGGCTGGTTGATCCCCAAGTCTTGGGGAAATTTCTTCTCCAGCACACCGATGCTCCGGGCAAAGAGGCCTGGGAGATGAAGACAGACCAGGAGCAGGCCCAAAGGAGCCCGGCTCCCTGCGACATGGCCCTGCATCTCG